TGCTATTTTCCAAATAATATTACGGGAATTCCATCATCAAAGTGTTTTAGTCGAAAAATACTATCCAGAATCGATCTCAACACCGCATTTATTTAACACTTTATTGTTATAGATAACGGTACACAACCTCGTCAAAGGCCACCGTTGTATAGCCTCTGACCTGGCTTGCTTAGCGATGACTTTATTTACCCTCTAGAGTATTGACTACTCAAAAATTTTGATTTCGAATTCAATCTTATGATCCCTGGACTGTAGTCAAACATTCTCCAATTGAGCTTATACCATTCCAGGTAATTTCTCAGTGTGATGGTTTCTTGTAATTGTTTGTATTTATAATAAGTTTCCTACTATAATCTTTTGGAGAGAACAATAAAGAGTATTTATCTATCTATGCACTTCATTAATTAATAGTTATCAATAAATAAGTACATTTTATAAATGACTACCACACAGATGCACAATAAGAATTTTCGTAAAAATTTTGAAATGCTAATATTTTCATTCGAACGCAGAATCGTGTATATCGCGTTTCTTTTTCTTTTATTTTTTTTTTTTTTTTATTCAACGTAGAATAGAAAAAAAGCAGACGGCCCACCTGATGGAAAGTGGAAACCATTGCATATAGACATGAACAGTACCATGGACATAACAGAGTATATTGTGTCGCCCATGATACGTTGCCTGATCCTGAGGACTCAGGTGTTATTCCTCTGCAGCCATATCCCACCCTTCAAACCAAAACACAGTCATGCAAACATAACTGCTTTACGGTAGAAACATGAATGGGACCGTGGTGCCCAAGTGGTGCCCGTGGTGACCTGGTGATTATATTTACTTATATTAATAGTAAATCCGTCTAAATAGCTTTCTAAACTCCACATAATATTTGTTTAGTGCATAAGTCTACAATTAAAAACAACGACAAAAATATTTTAACAATAAAAATATAAAAAAAGAAAAGAACTAAAATGGTACCACTCAGCTACACGCTATGCCGCTGATTTTCGCTAAGACGACGATTGGTACGACATCATTGGTAGGAGTAAATAAATAGTTTTAATTGTAACGGGTATTTAGTCACCAACGATGTTATTTAATCCCCCTGACTATCGCGTATCACATTAAATCAGCCTATTTCAGACATAAGAGACCATTGATAGGTAACAAGGAAGCGAACGCATTACTCTGCACGTTTCAATGCGATCAAAGAACCACTTAGTATCGCACTTGGAACAAGAGATAGCTTTCTAATCCAATCTTAACATACAAAAGTATAAATCTTATGCATATATTTGAAATATATTTGAAGCTTAAGTTATGATCGGTGCATTGGTTGCAAATTGTAACGCACACAAAGGGCTTGCACCTACTAAACAATTTGCAAAATAAAAAACATAAAACTAGTCAAGTAATAAACACTCAACTGAGTTTAAAAATTCTTTCAATTATAGAAAACTACATGATATTTGCAAAAAAATTGAGACTCCCACAAAAATTATAAAAGTGTAACGCGAGGCAATAAAAATTTGCCTATTAAAGCTAATATAAAATACTAATTTATCTTTCTATCTATATGTCTGTGCGAATCCAGGATTGATCGCTATTTCAATAATAAAAAAATAAATATGGCTTTATAACCTATTCGTCTAAGAGGCCAAAATTCGATGAGAAAATTTTAATTTTATTTATAGGGAACTCAAAGGATCCTAACGATTTTACTTTCCACCATCGTTATCATATCAGCTATTAAGTGTCCACTGCTAAACATAGGTCTCCACCTATCAACAGGGTTTTGTCACGCTTGGCATATAAGTTAGGAACCGCATTTAGGCTTTGATGATATTTTAAAAGTGACGCTACTGCCCCATCCCTCGACCATCAAGTTCTTTACTGTACTTTCGTCCAGTATATTAGAAATTCAATCTCTTTGTCTCTTCTTATATCCTTACGGAAAATGACAACAAAAATTATATTTTTTTTTTACAACACAGGGGGCATGAGGTTCACCTGGTGGTAAGTGACTACCGCCGCCCATGATCACCCACAACACTAAAGGCATTGCAGGTGTGCTGCTGGCCATTTTGTGTAAATACAATAAATATATTGTCATTTATTCTATTAAGCAATTTCCACTGAATGTTTTTTAAACAATTTAAATATTTCTGATGGTTACGTACTATTGCACGTATATCATTCCATCGTATAATCTGTAGACACCAGTACCTTCTGGAACTTGTGTTTTTTTTTTATTAATTACTTTATTAATAACCTGAACATAGATCTACCAATCCACTCATTATGGATTGATGAATTATGAAGCATTTAAACCTCACAGATTGATTTAAAATCTAATATCTTTTTACACCCAAAAACGGGATCGATAAATCGAGATTCCAATAGTCCTGATGAGTAACATTTAATTAAGTTTAACATTACGAATCCCTACAAAGAAAAACACAGCCGTATAAATACTCCAATATTGTAAAACTATGACATAAATGTAGAAACAACCTTCTTTATCATTACAAGATACATTATAGTATTAATAATGCTATTTCCTAAAACAAAAACTACGATTACATCTTTGATGAAGCAAACAAGATAGTAACATTAACTTAGTCTAATAAATTAAATGATAACACACCAGTACTCGAATACAATGCCTAAAATGATATGCCACCATAAAATTACACAACCATTGGAAAACAAATAAAAGGGAAATCAACTTAAACATTCTGTACGTTATCGCTGTGCCGAAAGCACGAGTTCGTAATCATGAATCTAGTACACCAACTGTATTTAGTTTAACTAGTATTAATTCTATTAATGTCAGAAACAATATATTCCTATTTCATGCATTCAAAGGTCTAGAAGCGACAGCACAAAAGTAAGCTCATTTACACGAAAGCTTTTAAACAACGAATGTATTTGTTAAAATTTTATATGTTGATCAAACGAACATGCGGTCCACCTGATGGTGACTATCGCCGCTCATGAGGACCCGCAACATCAGAGAAATTATAGGGGCCTAGTGAACTTTTAAAAAGAAATATGCTCTTTTCTTGAATGTTACGAAATGTTAATGAAATATTTAAGAAATATTAATTCATATTTCTAAATATATTTAGTCCTGTATCCAAACCATGCCTAATGATTATAAAAAGTACCTATTACACGCAGACATGTTCATTAACTTCCTCTTCTCGAATATAAACAGAAAATTATAATATTTAATTTTGGAGTGTTTAATTCAGATATAGAGATATTCAGAGATATATTGCAATTCGGGATTGACGGCGTCACCTAATCTATACCCATCAGAGAGAAGAATTTTGTTAACTTTCTGCCAGTTTATAGCCAACTTATTTCAATTGTTTGTGTAAGGACATAACGACTATTCGTGACATATTCGCATCTACAATGTTAATCTAAAGATTATTTACATATTATTGTTCACCACTTGAGCAACTGGTAACCTTTCACCAACATGCATGATCGAGCCATAGTTATGATTTCAGGTTCTAAAATGTTATAATGTTCGCACCTCTGACAATGGCTCTTAAAGGGACAGTTAAGTGTCGGTTATAATTCATAACGACATACAGTAAAACATGGTATACAATAGAGAATTAGCTTGCATTGCAATAGGTATTTAGGGCCAATGCCGTCGAGTCTATTAATCTTGTTTTAGAATATGTTGACAAAGGATCTTACTTTATGTACAATAAAATGACATAATCACTGGTTTAACAGTTAGTAGGCAAATCTATCTGACATCATATGCAATTGCTTCTAAATTGGTAAGCAATAAAAGACACCGCCCTACACAATTATTGACTATCTTTTTAGTTTGGTAGTCAGCGTAAATATGGCTTTAAATCTAACCGCATGAGGTATTACTAGTTTTATAAATTTGCTAAAATCCGAATATTTGGGGTGGTATGAAATGATCTTTATCAGAATTCGTTATTGTAATTTAAATGTTAATAAAAATATATTTCTTGGTTTTGAAATAAACATTTTTTTTTTTATAATTTAATAAACCGTAAGATAATGCAAACTTAATTCCTACAGATTAGCATAAAACTAACGTTTCTTATAATTTATACCAGGTATGTTTCTAAGGGCTATTAATATAAAAATTGCTTCATCTCAAAACCACGAAAAAATAAAAAAAAAATATTTAAAAATTTTTATACTAGAATTAGCTAAGACTTAAGTATGAATAAAACATAACAATCAAATCTAACAGATGGCAGATTTTGACAACTGCAAGTTGAAGTTGCATTGACATCATCAACTGCTGCTTTTTGAAACAAAACCATTTCAAATATCCCAAACAAATGATATAGGACAATAAATACTTATAATAGAGACATGAGGATTCCCACACAACTGAATTTAGCGACGGACGTGATATGCTTCGCTGTGATTGCGCAAATCACTAGCCTTCGTACTGTTCCTACTCTGATAACAGGCTGAACAGTGGCCAACGTTTAACCCTGGCCCTATTTAGTGAGGATGTAGGAATCGTGCTATTTGTTTAACATATTTCTATAATAGATATATAATATCGTCGGCATTGTACAGATATTGTATCATGCTTGGATAATTATACTAAAAGTTGCTCGTAGCTATGTTTGTGTTCCAACAGTGAAATAAATTATAGAACTCCTTTTAAAAATAAAAACTATATCGATAGATAAATTTAGTTAGTAAATAAATTAAAATGTTGGAAATAAAATTATATTACGAAAGCTCTACATAAAACTAAAAAAAGTAACTTTTAAAATTTTCTATTTTAAAAAAAGAAAATTAATAAACTTAACCATAGTAAGTATAAAAAAAAAACATCAAATAAATAAAATATTTTTTCAGTCTCATTACGTAATACGATACCTATCTCTAGCTCTATTCGAGACAATAGGCGGCAAACACCCAGGATCCGTCCGGACAAAATTAAATGAACATTATCCTGAAGGATATATATCACAAATTACCATGCCACTGGTTTCCTTGGAGGGCACCCAGAGTAGTGCGCGAGGTGTGCGTGAGTGTCCAAGTCAGATGCCGATGATACGACCGGATGGTATATGGACGATAACGCGCTTAGCAGCGCACCGAAATGAGGAGCGCTTCGCTCGACACCACGCTCCCGACTGACAGCTAAAATTGCGAGCTTTATCAATGGGCAAACACAAGAAACGGCGCGCGCGCACGTTTGCCCAACCACTTAGATCGATAGTGCTTCCGTTACGTTATTAGTGGATGTTATTCTTCACCTAAATGTTTATTTATTACGCTCATTTTAACACTATTGCTTTGTGTACATTGTGTCTCTGATACTGTGTAAATGTTCGTAATATCCATAATTTCAAATGCTGATATAATGTTGACTCAGAGTTAACACTCTCTATTAATTTTATTTTCTCTCTTTCTTCTTCAGATAGTATAAATAATGCAACTAGAACTTTAATTTTATTTCAATTAGAATTTGTTTTATTAGAATCATCCATAACAACTTTAATTTCAATAAATTAAAAATATTATATTGAAAGTAGATAAAATTAATTTATCTTTTTATTCTTCAATCAGAAAATAATTGTGCTTACTTAAACTTATATATATATATATATATATATATATATATATATATATGTGTGTGTGTGTGTATGTGTATATATATGTATATGTGTGTGTATGTATATAATAATGAGTAGGGATAATTTTTATATTATTATATGTATTACATCTCCCATATCTAGAAATAACGAAATTTTTTATCGCGCCTCCTACCAAATTGTTTATAATTACTCCTCTCCATCCAAAGGTTGCCTGGAAGAGATCGCTCTTAGCGATAAGGCCGCCCATTGTTTTCTCATTGTGATTATTTCTTGTAATTATTTATATTTATAATAAGTTTACTATTGTAATCTTTTGGAGGAAACAATAAAGAGTATCTATCTATCTATCTATCTATCTATTAATCTTTGTTAGATACCAACAATTAGAAGACTTTTTGTATAAACATGGGCGCACATAGAGACGTGATTAATTAGATCATTATGTTAAATTATGGTACAGGGTCCAGTCTCACGGGCTAATCAGTCTCAACCTGACGGAACTTTAATACCTGCACTGTGCACTGATACTTCGTTACTAATTGAACTGGTTTCATTTGTACGTAAATAAAAATATGTAGAGATATAGAGGATTCAAAGGATGCAGGATTAGAACAAGTTAGTAATTTAAATTGTACTTACAAGACGAAGAATAAATGTTGTTTATTATTATTAACGTATGGAAATACACAAGAAACTACTTTACTATCACAAGAAAAAATATTACTGATACTACTTAATTCACTTTTGAATAAATCATAACATTTTTTATGGTCGCAAAAATTGTGGCAAAGTGAAAACAATTAGGAAGAAAATAAATAAAGAACTGATTCTTTTAATCTCTCTTCTACTTTACTAATAATCATATTATGTTCGTATTCAGTGTTTGAAAATTATAATTTCATAGGTAAGGAACTTATTGCTTATGTTACAATTCAATATAGAATGTTAGATGCGTTATTGTGTCAAGTATTAATAACTGCAGAAATACATTTCAAAATGAAAACTAAATAAATAGATAGATAGATAATTTATTTGCATTACTTACTTACAGCACACAAATTACAACATACATATACAAAAAAAAGCGAGATAACATAAATGATAAAAAAAAATACAGTTTATTGCACCAATATTACATAAATTGTTGAAGGATTTTCAATAAGTATAGTATAATACAAGAGGCGGTCTCACTGCTAAGCAATCTCTCCCAGACAACTTGTGGGTAGAAGGAATTAAAAATAAAGAGGCGCGTTAAAAAAAATTGTAAATCTAACACGTTGATAAGTACGATTAAATTACATACATAATACATTACATACATATATAAATATATACAAACGTAATATTAATGTACATATAAATATAACACACATAATTCTGGTAAGAACCAATGAGGACTAATTGATTATAAGGACAGCTAGTGGGATTTAACTAAGTTTTTAAAAGTAGCCAGCGATTGAGCGCACCTTATAGAGATACGACTTTGGATTAGAAAAAGAAGAATTAGCAGGAAATTCAAGATGGAGGTTACTAGTGCTATAATAAGATGTAGCTGGATTAAAAAGAATAAAGAAGGAAAAAGATGTGTCAGTTGCGACGAAGGCGAAGACAGCCACTTGAGCCGTGTACGAAATTGGGATACATTGGTATATTTGCAAAGCTCAAATATGAAGCATATGCATATATACATAATAGTTACACTAATATCGTAATATTGATAGTTACGTCTGCATAATCACCAGCATTGATGGAACCTACTAAATTTCAACTGAGAATTGCCATGTTTCCATCCATAACTCGCGACTCAACTCATTATAAAATCTCAAAAAAAAACTTTTTTTTTATATACAACTTAGAATGGCAAACAAGCTGACGGCCCACCTGATGGAAAGTGGTAACTGTCGCCTATAGACATGAGCAGTACCGTGGACATAACAGAGTATACTGTTTCACCCATGATACCCCCCATGCGTTGCCATTCCTGAGGACTCGGGTGTTATTCCTCTAACTATTCAAATTATTTAAAAAGTTTAAATTCAGTACATTAATTTTAAAGTGATATTATATATTCATTAAGTAAGGGTTTTTCAAAACCCTATACAAACAAGTAACGACATGTCCCGCGCGGGTGATTCTACGGACAATAATATAACAAAAAATATCATCGTCATCATACCAGTTTTTAACTGTCCACTGCTGAACATAAGCCTCCCACTTGGGGGGTTTTGCCAGTAGTTGCCACGCTTAGGATTAACAACCGCAGTTAGGCTTTGGAGATGATTTAAGAGAGACGCTGCTGACCACCCCTAGCCCTCCCTTAATCGCGTCTTACGACACCCACGGGAAAGGAAGGGATGGCCTACACTATTCCGGAACAAAACAGCTAAAATTTACTTTTTTATTTACATACAGCAAAATATATACGTATTCTAACAGAGAAAGAGTATTTACAATTTAACAATCTTTTTTTAACCCGTAAAATTAAAATACAAAAGTCAATTGCTTGGGTACCTCTGTCCCATTAGTGTTTCAACCGTGAAGCAGTTGTGTTTGCATGGCTGTGTTTCGGTTTGAAGGGTGGGATATGGCGTGAATTTACTGGGTACAAGAGGAATAACACTTGAGTCCTCATGAATGGCAACGCATGGCAATCGCATCATATGCGAAACAGTATACTCTGTTATGTCCATGGTACTGCTCATGTCTATAGGCGACGATTACCACTTTCCATCAGGTGGACCGTCAGCTTGTTTGCCATTCTAAGTTGTATAAAAAAATATAAAAAAAACACATGGCAACAAAATCAAGAGAATCAAGCATCCTTTTTAGGTAGTACATAAATTACATTACGTAAGATAGAAACAAACGGCTATAGAGGCCAATTTTTACGGCAATTCGTATTTGGTAAACGACTAAACATGCGACAGAGCGCGATATAACGACCAAGCCAAGTTTGCGGTAGGCCGATCCTCTTCACGAGTGTACACCTGTGAGACGTCATAACTGCAGACGGTATTTAATTTTTGACTCAACTAGTCCATTACATAATGTCGCAGACTGCTGCGGCTAGACTGAGCACCGTCATCATTACATTCATTGTCCACTAGTGGACATAAGCCATATACCGCTGTGTAGTTCCCGGCATAAAATAGGCCATTCCTTCGTTTCTTGTGGGTGTCGTAAGAGAGACAGCAGCGTCCCTCTTAAAACACTACCAAAAGCCTAACTGCGGTTGCCAACCCGTCTGTTAAGCGTGGCAATTGCTAGCAAAACCCCTCAATTATAGAGAGAAGCCTATGTTCAGCAGTGGACAATTAATGTTTGATATGGTAGACATAAGCATCGCTCATATTTAGCTAGAAGGTAAGCCGTAAATCCTTGCAGCACTTTGATAGTAATCACTAATTCTCTAACTGGAATATCTAAGTAAAGAGAAAAATAAAAAAATGGAAAATATGACAAAACGGCCATGTAGTCCCGGCATAGAATAGGCCCTCTCTTCCTTTCCTGTCAATGTTGTAAGAGGCAACTAAGGGAACTTAATAGTAGAGGAATAGATAGATAGATAATTTATTTACATTACTTACAGCACACAAATTACAATGCAAACATACACATAATACAGAGTAAAAGAGATAAAAGAGTGAAAAACAAACAAAAAAGCAATAAAAAAAAACAAAAAGCAAAATATATAATACAACAATTTCCTTTTTTTATTTAAATAGGCAACAACATCCCTCTTAAAACACCTCTAAAAGCCTAACTGTTGTTGCCAACCCGCCTGCCAAGTATGGCCAACTACTGGCAAAACTCCCCTTATGGGGAAGGCTTATGTCCAGCAGTGAACAGTCAACGGCTGAAATAATAATAATAAAATATAAATTTACAGTAATTAATCTATACTTATAATAAATCTGTACAGTGGTCAATTCTGTACATGAAATATATTTCCAAAATAACTATCAGGGCGTGAATAGTGATCGATACTGATGCCAAAGATGCAATCAGTAAAATTTTTGTCTGTCTGTCTGTCTGTATGTTCGTTATAGAAACAAAAACTACTTGACGGATTTTAACGAAACTTGGTACAATTATTCTTCATACTCCTGGACAGGTTATAGTATACTTTTCAACACGCTATGATCAATGCTGCAGAGCAGTGAAGGGAAATGTTGGGAAAACAGGAGAAGTTAGTCAATTTTTAAGCTTCCGTCGCGTGTGCAACCTTAATGGCCACTTTTTAAAATGTAAAAATGTCCACCCGTGCGACGCCGGGACGGGCCGCTAGTTATACATAATATTGATTGAACCATTGCTGCAACATCTTTGATTATCCTTACATCATCAGGGCAGATAATTGTTCCTTAACTGTTACCCAATCAGTAGCAACAATGATATCAGATCCCAATATAACCCAGTGAAATTATTCATCAATAATTATACAGTAAAACATATGCAAATATGTACCTAAATATTGTATGTGTACCATGTGTTTGATCACTTGCATTTATAACTTAAGTAACCCTGGATCGACCTTCGGAT